TAATTTTGTATGAATTTCCATAAAAAGCACCATTTTTTAACCTATTTTACTAGAGCGTTATAATTGCACATAGTAGTAGTTGGGTGTATCTCAACAAACTTGTACGTGCATGGAGTTTGAAGTCGGTTTGTGTCTTTCTCCTTTTCGTTTCCCTCTCCCCATTCTCCTTCTACCATCCTGATCTTCCTTTTTTCTCTACTCTCCATCACACCTGACTGCATAATTTAGTGCATTATGGTATTTCAGTTCTCCATAATCTTCTCATCTATTTATATAGTTTTGATTGGTTCTTTCTACTTAATATAAAAATGAAATTTCCTATGGTATATTTATTTATGTACATACTATGGTTTTTAAAAATATGTCATATTTTCTCCTCTTTCCCATCGCTTCTCTCTCCCTCTCAATTTCCTCCTTATCCTCTACTTATTTTACCTATATTTTTATGATCACAGATCCTTCCCTCCTTCCTTTGTTTTGCTCTAGCTTCCGTATGAGAAAAACATCCAACACTTGATTTTTCTTAAACTGGCTTATTTCACTTCAGTTAGCACGATGTTCTCCATTTCTGTCCAATATCAGCAAATACCATTATTTCATTTTTCTTCTTTAAGGCTGAATAAAACTCCATTGTGTATGTATACCCGTTTCTTCATATGTTCATCTATTGACAGGCATCTGGGTTGATTCGTAAAATGGTTATTGTGAATTATGCTGCTGTAAACATGGAGGTGGCTGTATCATTATAGTATGTTGACTTTAGTTCTTTTTGGATAAATACCAAGGAGTGGGACAGCTGGGTTGTATGCTGATTCCATTCCTAGTTTCTTGAGGAATCTCCTTATTGAAGAAGCTCCAACTTTACCTTTCTCAGGGGACACTGTATCCTCTTGTTGTCTGCATAAGAGGTGTATGCACAGCCTTTCTCTAGTGATGGCATTGGAAAAAGCACGTGACATCTTTGACAATATTCCTTTTGATACAAGTGTTGTGAACCTGGAAAGAGACTTGTTGTCATCTGAAATGTCTTGTGTGTTCTCCACAGAAAAGCAAACCAAACTGGTAAATGTCTTACAGGACCTTGATTTGTTGCTTGTATTTCATGTCTACATCAGAAGCAGGAGTATCCCGTATCTGCCTTTTTCCACCATGGGGTCAGTGGGTGACTGTTGAACATTTATTGTTAATTGTATTCTTGATAATTGCCATTCTGACTGGAGTGAGATGAAATCTTAACATAGTTTTAATTTGCATTTTCCTGATTGCTAGAGAGGTTGAACTTTTTTCATATGCTTGTTGACCATTTGTATTTCTTTTTTTGATAAGTATCCGCTTAGTTCTTTTACTCATTTATTGATTGACTTACTTGGTTTTTTGGTGTTAAGTTTCTTGAGTTCTTTGTATATTCTGGACATTAATGCCCTATTTGAGGAGGAGGTGGCAAAGGTTTTCTCCCATTCTGTAGGCATTCTCACTCTATCTACAGTGTTTCCTTCGTAGTGAAGAAGCTTCTTAGTTTGCCATCCTACTTACTGACTTTTGACTTTATCCCTTGTGCTTTAGGAGTATTGTTAAGTAAGTTAATATGTTGGAGTGTTGGGCCTACATTTTCTTCTAACAGTTGCAGGGTTTCTGGTCTAATTCCAGGTCTTTGATCCACTTGGAGTTGAGTTTTGTGCAGGGTGAGAGATAGGGGTCAGGTTTCATTCTTCTATATATTGATTTCCAGTTTTCCCATCGTGTATTTGAAAGGCTATTTTTCCCCCCAACGTATGTTTTTGGCACCCTTGTCTAGCATCAGATAACTGTATTTATGTAGGTTTTTCTCTGTGTCTTCTATTGTCTTCCATTGGTCTTCATGCCTGTTTTGGTGCAGGTACCATGCTGTTTTTGTTACTATAGCTCTGTAGTATAACTTGAGGTCTGGTATTGTGATGCTTCCTGCTTGGTTTTTCTCGCTAAGGATTGCTTTGGCTATTCTGGGTTTCTTATTTTTCCAAATGAATTTCATAACTGCTTTTTTCTAGTTCTGTGAATAATGTCATTGGAATTTCAATGGGAATTATGTTGAATCTCTATAGCACTTTTGGTAGTATAGCCATTTGACAATATCTGCCTATCCAACAACATGGGAGGTCTTTCCATCTTCTGAGGTTTCTTTAATTTCTTTCTTTAGTGTTTGTTCTGTAGTTTTTGTTGTAGAGGTCCTTCACCTAATTTCTTAGATTGATTTCCAAGTTGGGGGGGGGCAGCTATTGTGAATGGGATAGATTTCCTAATTCCTTTTTCAGCAGATTCATTATTGAAAGGATAGGAATGTGATTGATTTATGAGTGTTGATCTTATATCCTGCTACTTAGCTGAATTTGTTTATGAGCTCTAGAAGTCTTCTGGTGGAGTTTTTTGGTCTTCTAAATATGGGATCATGTAGTCAGCAAACAAATAATTTGAGCTTTTCTTTTTTTATTTGTATCTCTTTAATTTCTTTCTTTTGTCTAATTGCTCTGACTAGAGTTTCAAGGACTATGTTGAATAGGAGTAGTAAAAGTGGGCATCCTTGTCTTGTTCTGTTTTTAGAGGAATCACTTTCATTTTTCTCCATTCAGAATAGTGTTGGCCTTGGATTTGTCATATATAGCCTTTACAGTGTTGAGGTAAATTTCTTCTATCCCTAGTTTTTTCTAGTGTTTTAAACGTGAATTGGGGCTGTAATTTGTCAAATGCTTTTTCTGCATCTGTTTATATTTCTTGACATTTTAAGAGAAAAATGTTCATGCTTTTTTTTTGGAGAGTCATAGATATATTGGCTTAAGCACGCCAACCAATAAAGATAGTTTCTGTCCTCATGAAGTTTGTAGTATAGAAAAGTAGATTTGAAAGGAGTTACTATAATACCATGGGTTGATATTATTTATGATAGAGGAAATTTCAGGGCTTGGAGAACTCAGCAGTAGGATTCTAGGGTAGGAGTTTAAGCTAAGAAGGGGAAGGAATGAATGAGGGTAGTTAGGCTATAATGAACTTTATAGTTCTTTGCCTTTGAATAGAATCAGTTCACTGTTCCTCCTGGCTACAGAGGGGAATTAATATGAAGCATAAAGAGCATGTAAATAATTCCAAACCTACAAAAGAGGTCAGGTAACTTTATAGTTTAATATTGAATTGGTAATATGGACATACATAAATTCTTAGCAGTCTTGTGTATTTTAAGTAAATTGTAAAATGCAAACATTATTTGCCAACAGATCTATTTGTCCAATGCTTTTGGTGAGTGATTAAGTTCTAGACAGAAGAAGAACATTGTTTTGTTGTGAACATGCTAGGCTGTTGCTCCATGTGATACTACCATTGGTGATAAGTTTTTGATGGACAGATTAGCACAATTAGGTGGTATTAATTTCTTTTCATTTTTGAACTACTTAAATCTATAGTAAATAGGAGGTGGTCCCACATGTCTGTAATCCCACCTACTAGGGAGGTTGAGGCTGGAGAATCTCAAGTTTGAGGCCAATCTTGATAATTTAGTGAGACCTTGTCTCAAAATAAATAAATAAATAAATTTTAAAAAACGGTGAGGAGGCTGGGAATGTAGGTCAGTGGTAATAAAGCACCAGAGAGGTTCAACCCCCAGTATTGGGGGTGAGGGGGATAAGGGTAGACTTCATAGGGAAAAAAAAAAAGAAAGAACTCAAAAGTTTTTGACTAATGAGAATCAAGTTCTTGCTACATTGAACAACAATTTCACGCTCTTGGACAAAGTGAAATATATTCCTTGAGCCCATTTTATTCTGTAAGTAAGGTTAAGGGAATATCCCACATCTAACTGTAGTAGAGTATTTTGTTGAAAAGAGAATATACTACTTTGTTGTATTGTGGGGAATATAATGTTGATTGAAATTCTTAGTAATTATTTAAGGAAAAAAACCATCAAATTGAATGAAAACAAATCTTTTCATTTGCAAATTTAGAGAAACATTTTGAATAGCCTTTAATTGAAAGTTCTGTGAAACTAGCTATGATTATAGGAGAAAACGAATTAAAAAGATAAGGTCACGTCTTAAATACGAATTATTCAGAATATTTCCTTGTGGAATGCTTGGTAGGAGAGTTCCTCTAGCTCTAGCAGCTGTCTTGCCACATAGGATTTACCTGAACTTCATCCAGATGTGCACATCTGCTCCACATGTTCCTGGCCTTTATCAACACCAATTCTAGTGGATGTTTAGGGGATAGGGGAATCCAACTTGCATCTTTGGTGATGTATACAGTACACAATTTTAATGGTCTTCTAGGTTCCAATATATTCTGCTAGCTCATCAGACAGTTATTAAATTAAAGTTCTGCAGAGAAATTGAAACTTAAAGATGTTGTAGTTTGGTAGAATAATCTAAGGAATAGAATAGTATGTAGAATTTCTTTGAGAATAGTGTTTTCTGCTTTTATTGGAAATTAAATGACTCTTGTTTGAACCATATGACCTGGAAAATTCCATTATATAATAATTATTCATTTTTAAGGGTACATGACTCAAAGGTAATAAGCTACGGTAACATTATTTCTTAATGGTTCTTTGTACTATAGTTATAGAAGTTATTTTCAGTAATTCTGTTATTGCTGGAGCAGTTAGAGATGAGGGTAAAGATGAAATCCTAGATAAATTCACCTCACTTTTAAAAAACATCTTTTTTTTTTTTGAAAAATGTCTATTGCAATTACCAACAAATAAAAAATGTAGCTGATTTGAGTTTTTATTTTTTCTTAATATTACTGTCATTTATCCAGTGTGTCCAAGAATCATTAAAGTGAGAAAGTGTAAATTATGTTGTTATTAATAAATAAAAGAATCATTCATATCTGGAACTTTAATTTCTTTAACAATCTATTCTATTTCCTTGAGAAGATGTTAAAAATTTGCTCAGAATTTTTATGAGTATGGTTTTAATTATAATTTGTAATTAATATTATTTTATGAGGATTAATAAAGCCTTATAATTTTGCAGGCCTTATCACAACAACATCAAGAAAACTAGACCGAGAACAGCAGGATGAACACATATTAGAAGTAAGCACTTTTTTATTTTTAATTAGTTTAAAATATTTGTAATTATAAATATCTTAAGAAAAAAAGATCTCGCTCCCAGTAAACCAGCATGCATAGCTGTTAATATCTTGGTATATTAGTTTCTGGCCATTAATAAAGAGCAAAATAAAGGAAACATTATGAATATAGCTCATCCCTTTTATCCCCCAATTCTTTCATCAGAAAGCAGGACTGCTGCCCTCTGTTCGATTCTAGTTCTTGTACTTTGTACATACACACATAGACACACAGCAAATACAGCTTTTATTGGAAATAAATAATCAATGCCATCTGGAATTTATTTTTACTTATTATAAGTGATTTTTTCTGCATACGTCCTGTAGTTCTTTTTTATCAGTATTGTTTTTGAAATATATTGGTATTTATAGATCTAGATTAACCTTTTGAATTATTAGCTATGAGCTTGTTTCTAGATTTTTTTATTCTTTAAATAATTACATTATTATGCATTTTAAAATCAAATTTTTTATTTTTTAAAAACTTTACTACTTGTAAATGTCCTGTTCTAATAAGGATTCTCATTCTCATGGCTTATTTAAAAATGCCTCTAATCCTAAAATATAAAACAAAACCTTAGCTTCACCTCATAATTACCTATTTCTGGCTGATATTAAACAGGTTGCAAAAGGGGGCTGGGAATAGCTGGGAGGAGGAAGGTACCGTAATGTGGATAGTGCGGGTGCCATTGCCTGCAGAGCCACAGAAGCCAAGACAGAGGCAGCAGGAGGAAAGGGAAACCCAGCAGAACAAACCTGTTTCCTCTGTTGACACAGCTCTATTACATGTTGAAGGCTCGTGTTGATTATTGGAGCCAGACCTGGAAAAGCCGTGTGCTTTGGTAGAACTTTCAAGATAATATTAAGACGTTGATGGGAAATAAGTTTTTGTGTTTGTTTACAGATCTTTATGTCTGTCTGTAGACCTTTGGTAGTGGTATATTGGAAAACCAGCTTGGCATTGATTTAGCTGTCTGAAAGAGTAGATCTCTGGTTCCATCACAGGGCTGGAAAAGTACTGGTTATTTAACTTGAACTTAGCAACCGTTTAGTGATGAATATTAAAAACATAGTGCTTGATTGTGGTTCTCTTTCATTTTTCTTCTTTTTTTTTTGTAAAGATTATATAAAAACAGATCAAAAGGACATGTCTTGGAGCTAAAGTAATATTTTGCTTTATTCTAAAAACCTTCAGGAACTTCATGAACCTTAAGTAACATGAAGCAACTACCTTACTTACATATGCTAGCCAAGCACAGTGGTACAAGCCTGTAAACCCAGCAACTCAGGAGTGAGGCAGGAGAATCATAACTTCAAGGCCAGCCTCACCATCTTAGCAAGGCCCCAAGCAAGCAACTTAGTTGAGTCTCTGTCTCAAAATAAAAAAGAAAAGGGGCTAGGGACATAGCTTAGTGGTAAAGTACCCCTGCGTTCAAGCCCTAGTACTAAAACTAGAAGAAGAAAAAAATCCTGACAAGTACCACCAGGATGTATTCATGCTTTTATAAATAGGATATAAAATTACCAAATTTCAAAGAGGAAATAGTTTCATGGAAATCTTAATCTACATTTATGTTTTAATATCTTAGTAATTAATTTGGAAAGAGATGTTGGTGTAGGCGAGGGGAGAATAATTATTACTGAGGTCATTACTTTTAAGGTATGTACTACCATAAACATGAACTTTTAAGGGTGAAATTGACTCATGCATGTAGAAACAGTTACCAGTGCAGTCCTCAAGAATCTCTGATCTTTATCCCTAAATTTAATTTGTGGGTAATTTACTTAAAATGGGACTTACTTTACATTGCTATTACTGAAAACATTAAATTGGTATTAAATGTAAATGTTTATGTCCACCTTCCTAAGCATTAAAGACTTCTGTATAAGAAAACAGCCAAACAAAATAAAATAATAATTACTAGTATTTAAATGTGTAATACTTAGCATAGACTTTAAAATGATGCTTCGGCATATTTTATGGATGAAGCTTAAAAATGACAGTGTTTTAATGCAGTATTATGGATAATTTATATTTAAGTGGACAGAATACTTTTTAAGGAGGACTCTAAATATTTCAAGCAGAATCTTTATGTATTCCTTTCATGACCTAAAAATATTAAATTTTTGGTTGCTTAACATTTTGGTAAAGTCACCTTTTAGAGCTACAGTAGTTCAAGGAGACAGTAAGAAGTAGCATCTCTTTCTCAGCCATTGCCCAGCTACGCCTGTCCCTTTCTCTACAATTAGGAAAAGTTGCCCTTACCTCCTTACAGTGTTTTTGTCAGAATGGGAAGAGATGTATGGGCCATATTGTTATGTGACCTGTAGAAGTTTATATAAATGGTGATTCTCATTAGGAAGACGGTGTTTACTTTTTGTATATCTTAAAAATGCTTGTTGATCTATTACCTTTAAAAAACAGGTTACTGTGACCGACAATGGTACTCCCCCTAGATCAACCATTGCAAGAGTAATTGTGAAAATCCTTGATGAAAATGACAACAAGCCTCAGTTCCTGCAGAAGTTCTACAAGATCAGACTCCCAGAGCGGGAAAAACCAGAAAGAAACTCCAAACGAGAGCCTCTGTATCGCGTTGTAGCTACAGACAAAGATGAAGGTCCCAACGCAGAAATCTCCTATAGCATCGAGGATGGAAATGATAATGGCAAATTTTTTATTGAGCCAAAAACTGGAGTGGTTTCATCCAAAAAGTTCTCTGCAGCTGGAGAATATGACATTCTTTCAGTGAGTTCAGTCTCAGAACATAGTCTCTGAATTTCTTAAGTGCTTTGACTATAAACCTTGTCTCTTATTTTGGCAAATAGCTTCAGTGTTTGTGAGCCTAATAATTAGGCAATCCTTTGTAATATTTGAGAAGTATAGGTTTATTTTTTTGTTTGTTTTATTTTTTTTACTTTCCAACTTTGACTCCAGTTGCCTATTATTGATGTTGAGTATGGTCAAGAAGTAGTTGCTCTTTTCTTCAAGCGTTAAATACATGGCATATTCAGATACAAATATGAAATGTTTGAAAGTGGTTCAGTTTCAGAAACCATTCTGTTTTAGAATGTATCTTACGATTTGCTGTTTTTATCCTCTGTTCTTATTTTATAGATTAAGGCAGTTGATAATGGTCGCCCTCAAAAGTCATCAACCACTAGACTTCATATTGAATGGATCTCCAAACCCAAACCATCTCTGGAGCCAATTTCATTTGAAGAATCGTTTTTTACCTTTACTGTAATGGAAAGTGATCCAGTTGCTCATATGATTGGAGTAATATCTGTTGAGCCTGCTGGCACACCCCTTTGGTTTGATATAATTGGTAAGCATTGCTTGTCCTTTTCAGTGTCCTTTATAGGTTACACTGAGGAGAAACTTGCACATGGTTTTCTGAATTTTGAATACATCTCATAATTTAAAATGAGAATAAGATCTGTGGGTAGAGAATTTGCTTTAAACTAATCACTGGATCAGGGAGTTACAGAGAAAACTGAATGTTTTAATTATGTATCATACACACATAAAACATATAACACATTATTTTTAGTAAATATGATTAGAACATTTGAAGTAGCTGCTTAGGTGACTGTCACATGCCCATGTTTGAATATATATGCTAACAAATTTTGATTTGTATAACTTAAAAATTATAGTGCCAGCTATAGTTTTATTTTAGGCTTTTTAGGTTTTTTTTCCTTATTTTTAGTAGTAGATAGGGCATGTTAGATTAATTAATCCTTTTATAAAATTTTACATGTTAAGCCAATTCCTTTTTTTTTTGTCATTTCATTTAGTTCCCACATAGAATATAATACCCTATTCATCATAACTTTTTAAAAGTACACATTAGACTTTGACATCTAAGATCTTTTCATTCTGTTTTTTTTCCACACTATTTTAATTACAAGCCTATTTAAGACCAAAAGTATGTGATGGAATTTATCTCTAGTTGACACTTCCCATTCCTATTCTGTCTTCAACCCCTTAGCTATATTACCTCCAAATACTTTTTCAGAACATTGGAGCTGGTGGGGCATAGGTTGCAAGGATCACAGGTACATACAGGTTGTCCTCTTCAAATTCACACTACACCGTTGGATTATTTTCCCTGATTTGGGGCATCTGTTGGAATAGTTAATTGACCACACCTCTGAAATTATTAGTTTCAAAGAAAAAATTATTTTCATGGTTAACTATAATTAAAATAGTTTGTTTACTTTCTCTGAATTTATGCCACATTTCCAGATTAGCAGGATGCAGTTGGTGCAGTATCTGACTTTACTGTTCAATACTTACTGTGTATGGAACTGGTTTGATGATTGTTCTTCTTGTTCTTTGCTTGCTTTCCATGCTTGCTTGCTTCTTTTGGCTGTGCCAGGAGATACACTTGCTAGAGAAGTTTTTTACATCTTTCAGATGACTTGTGACCCGAACTGTACAGCAGAAGGTATCTGCTGAGATCACATAATTTGCTTCAGATTATGAGATCTAAAATAAAAGCATTAATTTTTCTGAGAACATTTTTATTTCCAATGGTTATTTTTCATTACTGTTTCTTTTCATAGTGTGCACATGGTCATGCATTCCAGTTGCAAACATGTCATCTTTTAATCATCCCTAGATCCTTAGGTTTCACTTACGACCTCATATGTGTGTATGTTGTTTTGCTTTTTGGTTAGATATAGTAGTAGAAATTCACCAGGACCATAAACCTTTATTTTCATTCCTTTTCATCTCATCAATTTAAATACTTAAAGTACAATGGATTTAAGAAGAGTTTTACTTAGAATACAATTGGGATGTATTGGGGTAGTATTAGTAGGACAGAAAATTTTGTTTGATTAAGCTCTGATTTTGATAACAATGGGAACAATTTGTTTTCAAATAGCTATTTATGTCTGATTAGAGTTAACTATCACTATTTTTTCAGGGTTAACGTTTGTTTGGAATGATTGTTTTATTGTCAGTAGGTTTAAAATATCACAATTTTTAAAAAAAATATTTAAACTATTAAATGACTAGTGATGTGTTCATTTAGTCACTGAAATAAATTAAGTAAATATTCAAACCTCTGAAAAACAAATTGAAATTGATTTAATGGCAACATTAGCAATTTTTCTGTTTTTGAAGTTGCTTTCTCTTTTCCTCTAAATTCATGGCTTCCTTGACAATTAGGGTTCAGTTTTGCCTTAAAAGCATTATCTTTCTAATTGGTCAGTCTTTTCTTGCTTTCAAAATACTTGCTCCTTGGAATCACTTTGATCATTATGTTCAGAGTCTTCTTTTTTTTTTTTTTTACTGATATTTAGTATTAGAATGCCACACACAAAAAAACCCCCAAAACAACGGATTTTCACTCTGTGATTTGTTTCAACTCTTCTCTTTGTCCTAATTTAAACTAGGTGGCAACTATGATAGTCACTTTGATGTGGACAAGGGGACTGGAACCATCATTGTTGCCAAACCTCTTGATGCAGAACAAAAATCAAACTATAACCTGACAGTTGAGGCTACAGATGGAACGACCACTATCCTTACTCAGGTAAGTGAATTACAAATGATGTGTTTGTCAGAGGAGAATTGAAATACTGTTTTAATTTCAGGGCCCACAAACAGTATGAGCAGCCAATTTTGCCTTTTGAGGTTCCAGAGTCAGAAATTAGTATAGTGATGCAGTTTATGCACAAACTCACCAAGAATTTTTATTTAGAGAAAGAAAATTAACAGCAGTCCCAATTTGGGTTTTGCATGTGATTAAGCAGTTCAAAGAATTTTACAGAAGAGTTAAAACTGAACTACCCAGTTGTATGGCATCAAAATTCCCTTAATTTTATATTCATGTCTGAACTATATTAATACAGAGTATATCGCTATAGTGGATGAAGTGTACAAGTCATTTTCATGAAAGCAGATTAAAGTGATTAATTAGTCTTTTTAAATTACTTTCCCTCCCCCTTGGCTAATAACTGGAGTTGTGTAAAAATTACTGATTAAATTATTCTGAGAATTCTAAGAATCCCTTTAACTCCATTATTTGCTCCTATCTGTTGATTAAGAGATGACCAGATTGCTAAATGTTAAATGCCTACAAATTAAGTTAAATTTTCTTAGGAATTTTCTTGGATTCTCATTATGAGTTGTGGGAGATTTACAAAAAGAACATTCTTGGATGAATAATCATTGTGGTGTTTCATTCGTTTAACAAATACTTGTTGAACACTTGGTATGTGACAGGTACTGTTTTATAAGCTGAATAATGGGTAATAATAGGCAAGACTCCTCCTGCCTTAGAGTTCACAATAGGATGGTGGAAATCATATACAAGGCTTCTGTATGATGTATATATTCTTAAAAAGGAAGACGTTAACAGAATGCTTCTGGATTCCAGTTTCCTATCTTTAGAGTATTTTACATCTTAACCTGCCAAATCATTTAGTTGCACTACAGAATAATCCTCGTCTCATGTATTTCAGTTAATTAATAGGTATTTAAATATTTAAAGCCAGTTGTGAAAATAGTTTATTCCTTTCTCCAAATAGTTGTGCTTTTGAATTTATGTAAAATTATTTTTGTTTGCTATACTATATGCTTTGGGGGGTCATTTTGAGATTTCCATGTAAAAGTTGATTCACAGTATTAAAGTTATGATTTTGTGACTGTTCTCATTCTACAGGCAAGAAGAATCAGTTTTCTCTCTTTATAAATAAACCCCTGAAGTTAAAACTTCAGAGCCTGAAAGTGAGAATCAAAAATAGTAGTAAATCTAGCAGAGTAATTCTGAGTTCAGAAGTTTAACAAATAGAACTCTGTGTGGTCCAGTTTACATGATTAACTGGAAATCTATTAAGAGAAACTTAATAAGCTGTAGATCACTTGTTATATATGCCAATAATTAACAATTTATATCTTCCCCCAAATTGTATATTTAGTTAGTACAATTGAATGCTTAGAATGGAATATTGTGTGTTTATTAACTAAAATCCTTATAACACTAAGGAGATATATTCTGATTTTCTCTTCTTAATTCCAGTGCTTCATATACGTCTGTAATTTCATTTAGAGTCATTTTCAGAGAGTCTTTAATGATAATCTAATGAATTGCTAGCAAGGAAACATAGTCAGAATGGAAGAGAATGGTTACATAGTCTAGGTTGACCTGTCATGGTGTGGGACAAAGGGAACAATAAGTAATTAGGTTTAGGTTTCTAGTCTGGGGCTGAGAACAGAGAGATACTAATCTGGGAGACAGCAGAGCAGCAGATACTACAGGAAGAGGAACACAGAAGTTTGGAACAGTTCTGATAAGCCACACAACACAGCAAGAGACATGTGGGTTTGTAAGTAAACTCAAGAACCAACAGAGCAGGTTTTTGCATTTAGGTCAGTAGCAGCAGATGCCAGATTTACGTAGGCTTAGGAGAACATTAAAGAGGGCATTGTCCTTCACACATGGTGCATCCTCAGCAAAGTAGGAACTGAAATTGGGCAGTGTCGATGTCAGTGTTGTGCTGAAACAACTCTCCTTGCTTTCCTGTCCTGCCAAGTTTCTGCTTAGGATGCTGACCAGCATTAATTTGAGTCATTTTGCTTTATCTTTTTTGTCTTTGTCTTGCCAGGTAACTTTCCAAATTCAGCCAACCTTTTTTCTTTCCTCCCTCCCTCCCTCCCTCCCTCTCTCCCTCAAAACAGCTTTGCTTTCATGCTTTCTTTCAGTTTCTCTTGATCATGAGCATTGCATACTCCAGAGCAAGCCTCTTGGTTTTAGTCTCATCCCTACATCTTGCTTTTATCCATGGACAATCTCTAATCCTCTCTACTTGCATTTTCTCGTCTGAAAAATGGGTATAGGGTTAACCATCCTTAATTTTTTATAAGGATTAAGTAAGATGCCACATAAGAGTCTTTGCTCTTAAAGATCTTAAAACCTATCACCCAGGAAGTACTTAAGAGTATTGCTGCCTGTCAGAACTGGTGCAGGCTCTTGTCAGTCACCCTACCCCTAGTACTTGATTTACCTTCCTACCTCGATTCTCTTTTCTTTCAATTCATCTTGTGCTGCCTGCTACTCGAAGGGTCTACCCGACTGAGCAGAGGAGGTGAAGGTAGATTTGCTCTGAAAAGTAGGTTCAGAGCACACAGGATATGTAGTCCTGCAGCCTTAGCTCAGGAGTCAAGGCGCTGTATGTTTGGTCCCAGTCTCACCTCTTACCTTCATGTCTTTGACCAAGCTCTTCCCGGTACACATTTACCTACCAACCTAAAACCTACTCGAGCAAAATTTTACTCCATTCTTATGAGTTTTGGGGATGTCCCAGCCGGTCTCAAGACTCTTATTTTTTAGGTGATAATATATGAGACATAGTTAAATTTCATAGTGCAAGACATTGTCCAGTGAGTTAGAAAACTTTATGAGGGCAGGAACTACTACCGTACACTTATCTTACACCCTCAGTTCTGTGTGGGCAAATGCTGAGCACATAAGTGCCTAATAAATGTGTTCAGCAACCTTATTAAGACCAAGTTTTTTAACTTCAAGCTCTTTCTGTTTAATAGTGACTAATTGATTTTGGAGCAGGATTAAACATCTCTGCCCAATACCTACTCCATGGTTAAAAAAATATATATTAAGTTCCTTGCAGAAATAGGTATGTTCTGATTTGATCTGTAGAAATTACCTTAATAGCTGGGCATGTTGGCACAGGCCTGGAATCCTAGCAGCTTAGGAGGCTGCGGGAGAAGGATCCAGATTCAAAGTCAGTTTCAGCAATTTAAAGAGGCCCTAAGCAACTCAGCGAGACCCTGTCTCTAAATAAAATACAAAAAATGGCTGGGGATATGGCTCGGTGGTTAAGTGCCCTGGGTCCAATCCCTGATACCAAAAAAAATAAAAAATTGCCTTAGTAATGCCTTTGGTTCATCTTTGACATTTACGAATGAGGTGTTTGCAGTTTTGTTTTAATTGTTTTTAATGTAAATGTACAATTTAGTGTTAAAAACCTGTCATTGATGGTGTAGAGTTCTGTTAGAACACTGCTGTGGACCTATGAAAAGGTCTCTGTTCATATGCCTTCATTAGTGTGGTTAATGGTTTTACCTGTGCTAGGACTTTGATCTTTTGGCCACTTGGACCAGCAAACCCTTTTGTTCTGAAGGAGTCAATGAAGCTTAGATTTCTTGTTCATAAACTATCTTTTGTGATTGGTGCTGATAAGGCTGATACTATGCCTTATCCATATACGTCTTTCCATTCTGAAAAGTAGTCATTTTACTGTCCAGGTAAAATTTTTTGTCATTTTAAAATTTACCTTAGAACTGAGTTTTTTGACATTGGCTCTTTTTTCTCCTCTGAAACTTTTGTTTGATGTTGACATACTTAACAGTTTTATTTCAATCTGTTTAATCTGATTTTAGGAAATAAACACCTTTCTACTTACATATATAGGTCTTAAAAGAAAACCTAAAAACATTTTCTTTTTCTTTTTTGGTTGTGTTAGGGATCAAACCCAGAGCACTCAGAACCTTATGCATGCTAAGCGGGTACTCTATGACTGATCCCCATCCCCTGCTCTAAAAACATTTATAATTTTTTTCTCTAATATTTAAAATCTTAACAGGAATTTGGAGTCTCAAATGAGAAGGAGAAATAGAGAAACCATCTATCACTCCCCTCAGTAGATTAGTAGTTACATATTCAAATGTAATATAGGAAGTAAGTCTTGTATAAATCCTGGCAAAGTAAATTGTCTGATTTCTTTCCATGAGTAATCTACAAAGGTTTTCTGTGTGGACACCAAAGAGATATTAAGTCTATATTTCATAAAGAAATGTTAATTATGAGCATTCATTGTGTCTCCAAAGTCAGATTCAAGAATTTAGGAAGGTTTTATTATCTTACTCATATTTTAAATAAGTAATATATCAGTGAGAAATTTTAAGGATATTTTTGATTCTAGATTTTTGTTCCTTTTCTCATATTTACATTACATTTTGCTAAAATAACAGCTTTTTTTCAATGTACATGTGATATATATGTCTAGATTATTTAAATGTTAAAACAATTATTAGGAATATTATGTGAGCCGTTTTTGTCATTTATTATAGGTATTCATCAAAGTAATAGATACAAATGACCATCGTCCCCAGTTTTCTACATCAAAATATGAAGTTGTTATTCCTGAAGATACAGTGCCAGAAACAGAAATTTTGCAAATCAGTGCTGTGGATAGGGATGAGAAAAATAAACTAATCTATACTCTGCAGAGTAGTATAGACCCATTGAGTCTCAAGAAATTTCGTCTTGATCCTGCAACTGGCTCTCTCTGTACATCTGAAAAACTGGATCATGAAGCCATTCACCAGCATGTTCTTACAGTCATGGTAGGCATCTACTTGTTCTTCTGCCTGCATGTGGCTCCTTAAAGGTTTCATGTGTTTGAGAATGACAGAGATTTTTTTTAATGCGTGAGAAAGAAAACCCAAACAGGATTGATAATGTATTTTCTTTTTAGGTACGGGATCAAGATGTTCCTGTAAAACGTAACTTTGCAAGGATTGTCATTAATGTCAGTGACACAAATGACCATGCCCCGTGGTTCACCAGTTCCTCCTATGAAGGGCGGGTTTATGAGTCGGCAGCTGTGGGCTCAGTCGTTTTGCAGGTTACAGCTCTGGACAAAGACAAAGGGAAAAATGCTGAAGTGCTATACTCAATTGAATCAGGTATTTTTGGACCATTCAATTTGTTAAAGCATATTTTCTTTTCTAAAATTAGTTCTAGATATTGAAGCGTTTCTATGTATATCTGTAAAAATTGCTTGAATTGGTCTTTAGCTACCATTTTACATGTTAGGAATGGAGATTTTTCTTTCTTTCCTTCTTTTTTAAGAGATTGAATCCTAATAAGTTTGGGACCCAGTATTCTTAGAGAGTCACAGTATTAGCATAATTCAAGACTCTGAGAAGTCCTGCAGAAAAGAAAACTCTCTTTGACTAATTTCAGTATTTCTGAGATAATTTTAACTGAACAATCATTTTCCTCCAAAATATTGGTTAATTATGAGACACTTAGGAATACTGGCCTAGTAATGTAACATTTTACTTTGTAGTCAGAGAGTATTTTCTTTTGTGCAGAGCCTAAGTGTCCATGATAGAGTGCTGATTTGTCCCATTCTCAAAAAAAAGTGTCTTCTATCTATCATCTTCCTTTGAGTTAGCTCCCCTCCAATATCGTAAACCCCCATGTTTCTTTAAAAATTGTTTCATGAGCGAAATTGGGTTGTTGCAGTAGGCCAGAGTGGGGTCTGAGACTAGAAGAAATGTTGAAAAGGCTGAGATGATGGGCCTGAGTGATCCAGGGCCAGGAAGGC